ATGCACAGCACACATGCAATCGCTCACCAGAACGTGCGACAACAGTGCAGGTTCCAACTGCGTTTTATTTATGTTGGGAAACGGCTTTTAGGTCAAATCCACATCCATTTAGAGCCTCCATTTCACCAATCTGCAGACATGTCGGCAGAAGCACGAAGGGGCTAGACAAGATTTATTGCTCCTCAATAAGGTCGAAAGATTGGGTAATAAGTAGTAGGTTGGTTTGCAGCCAAACCTTAATCTTTCGAAAGAATGGTTTCTTCGTCACGGGGGTTCAGAAAAAAGAGAATTTTGGTCGCACAACGATTGGCCAACAGTTACTAGGCCTAAACAGCTATCATCCTGAAGGCAATTCCAGAATCCATTTCATCAAAATTGTGAAATGAAATGAAGGTTCCACAATGGCATTGTTCTCACAAATCCCGGCAACTGTGCTTTGTTGAAAAATGGACGTTTTAAAAATCGTCTTTCCGAAGGCTAACTCTTCACTTATGCATTAATCTCAACGGGATTCTGATTCAGCTTGTGCTAGTTGAGAGGCCGACTCGCTACTCCATTCATCAAACAGTGATGGAATTCATTACAATAAAAGCAGCATTTAATTGTCAATAGACTTGATTATTTTATGATAATCGTATAAACAAACAGATTTTGGTGTACCTCAGTCCGCATAAGGAACGTTTCGGTAGCCTTTGTCCCTATGCGTACTGAAAATGTATATATTTCTCAGTAGATAACCCGTTCAATGACCAAATATAACGGGCAGCAATGGACAGCCTCATTTAGCAAATCTGTTCTCATCTCCACGAGACGTTTTTATCGAATACTTTATCAACAGTGGTAATGGCAGCGCAATCAATCAACTCCTATAGTCATTGAGCTTTCGCCACAGCCAAGTTGAGGATGAATAGGAGCCTGATCAAATGTCGTCTCTGGAAGCTTTACACGACTTCTTGATACAATAGCTTGACCATATGCATTTTTCACTAGATCCTCTTTGTCTGGAATCTGCCGACGTAACTCAACGTAGAACTAATTGAATTAAGGGCTAGGCCTAATTCAAAAAAATCTCTGTAGAAAGTTGCTTAACTTGGTAGAATAAATTGACGGTATGAAGCTCAAGATGTTGTGACCTCTTGAGCAATCGAATACCAACAAGTTGCAAATCGTGATAGCACAACCAACAAAACATCTTTGAATGTACCAATTACATGACCCAAAGCTGGGCAGAGGACTTTGAACAAGGTGTATTTAACGAGGTCGCCCTAAAAACGAGATCAGACCACTTCACAAAATTAAGCTAGCCAAAAAATGACCTCAGAATATTAATTAATAAGAATAATAAGCATTGCTTCATAAAGATAGTTTTTGTATAAATTATTTGGGTATAAAACTGATCTATTCTATTTTTAACACCTGTCAAGCAACGAGACAAAATCTACCACCGCAAACAGTCGCTTTTCCCATTTCTTCTTTCAAGAGCAGCCTGTTTCCCTTCGTCCAACCTTATACTAATTATCAATTCACATGTTACCATGGTCACATTTCAATGGGAGGCAGTAGAAGAGGGCTAACAATTCGAATGGGATAATCAGTGCCCTATTTATAACAATTTACCCACATTTAATTGATTGGAAGCACTCGAGACTTCGTTACCTGCTGAATAGGATGTCGGCCGTGAATAAGCTGATGATAGACTCTGAAAGTGAAATCAAGTGCCCCAATTATTGCAGATGATACCAAGTTTACGAATGTATAAACTGCGCTCTCATGTTACCATGCTCCGAGGAGAGACAGACTGTTCTTGAACAACTTTTCACCGAGACCAAGGAATTCAGTAACAAATGGCCCTTCGCAGGTTCATGCTTGCTCAGACTTTTCACACTTGCGAACGGAGGCGGAATGTTGCCAGTTTAATCGTATTTAATCGAAAGTATGAAGACCAAAATGGTGTAGCCTCTTGTGTGGTCGAGGTCTCCTTTCGTTGTATAGAAGGTGTTCGATCTTGTTTTCGCAACTTGGTCATTTTGGTAGGAAGACTTAAAGGCAAGAGTTTGTCTCTTTGACGAGTTGTAATATGGTGCTACGAATGGCGAGACTCACTGACGATGCCGACT